CATACATACATACATACATACATACATATATATATATATATATATTCGGAAGTGGCTCAGGCAGACACCCCTTCTATGCTGGTGTATAAGAAGGGGAAGTACAGCGCCATCACTCTTGCGAGATTCTGTAACTACAACTTCTGGATAGGATTTCCATCTAGAACACGGGTATGAAACTTGCCACGTTAAGTTGCCGTCACATGACGTTTTGCGACGTTTTCCCCCTTCACGGAGCTGGGGTGGGTGTGGCTTGTGTGTGATGCATCCGGCCCGCGACCCGTCAGGTTGACACCCCTGATCTAGAGTGAAGATAAAGCCCAGGACCTAACATTCTTAAAGGCTTTAGCTAAATTCAAGTGCTGGAGGGTTTAATTTGCAAAGTGGAAGGCCACGAATGAGAGGGAATGCTGAATGCATTTAATACAGTATTTGGCTTCAGGCTGAAGCCCGTTTCATATGTTCATACAAAAGGGGCTTCTTGAATCAAGGGGGCCACACCACTGCCTAGTTTCCCCCCCTGATAAGTCTCCTATTCCCCATTTCCCAATCTCCCAAGGCTAACCCCCCCCCCCCTCCTCGGGCCCTTTAATGTACAAGGCAGAAGAGAGGATCCATTTTCAATCATACAAACCACAGAGCACTCATGGTACTTATGTTGGTGGGGGAGAAATAGGAAATACAAGCATTGCTTGTATCTCCTGTAGCAGACAGCAGTGACAGAATTATGAAAGGAAGCACAATTTATGTGCTTGTAGGCCCCACCCTCAATCACGTAGTTTGTCAAACATCAACTGCCTATTATTTTATTCTCTAACGTTTGTTACCTTTGAGGCCCATGGCAGTCCGGCTCTGCCGACTGGAGTTAGATCCATAGGCTGGCTCTGGCCGACTTAATGTGTCCTTTTGACGAGCCACAGCCACAGCAATGCCCACTGGAGGTTGACGCACCTCACCATCTCCGTGGCCGAGGTCATGGTCTCTGCTGCGGGCACAGTCTGATCGTTCCAGGTCCTGCTGTCCTTTGGTCCCCAAATGCTTGCCCCCATCCTGATGGGCACAGCTGCCCTTGAGGCTGCCCAGCCCCACGTAAGGAGCCTTCTGGCCCACGATAAGTGCTTGGTTGCTGTACTTGAGCAGGTTTTTCATGGCTGATACTTCGTCAGGAGGGGTTTGCATCTCCTGCGTGAGCACAGACCCCTGGGTCATGAGCGCAGCCTGCTGGAGGCTGCTGCTAAAAGGGTCCAAGTAAGAGCCCTTTCTCTCCTCTGCCATGGACAAAGGGGGGCCCTGGCCTTGAACTGGCCACGGTGGCAAGTGGGGCCCACTGTAGCCCAGAGAGCTGAGCTCCATGGATTTGCGCTTGGATTCTGCATGGGCGCCTGCCTGCTCCATCTCGGTCTGCAAGTGCTGCTGGTGGCGGATGCGAGCCACTTTCTGGGTGCTGGAAACCGACGGCTCCTTAGGGGCCTTGTCTAAAGTGCAGCAGGACTGGCTGAGTTTGCACAGCGTCTCTTGGGAGTTAGGTCGGGCACAGTCTTGAGGTGGCATCATCTCAAAATGCCCACCCTTAGGTTGGTGGGGCAAGCTGCCAAAATGGCTGTCGGAACCAGTACTATTTAGGTACTCCAGCCCTTTCAGGCGGGCGTTGGGATTCTGGGGCCAATCCAGCCTCCGCTCCACTTTGCCCTCGGCTTTGAAGTGAGAGAAAGGATGGTGCCCGTAGGTAGGGGGGTGCTCCGGGCCCATCTCGTGAGGGCGCTCTTTGCCCTCACAGGGCTCTGAAGGGATCTGAAAGGAGCGGCTCTTGTCGGTCAGGTGGCCTACCGAAGGCACAAAAGTGGCTCCGCTAATCCGTAGCTCCCGGCTGGCCTTGTCCTGCAGAGGACACATCCCATCTGGGCTGGAATGAAGCTGCAGGCAGGGGAAGCTGCCCGTTGTCGTGCTCAGGGCAGGAGGCCCAGCAGGCAGACTGGATGGGACAGTGTAGGAGACTGAGTGGTGCAACATTTGTCTTCGCTCCAGGCACTCGCTGTAGGACTGAGGAGGCTCATGGTGGCCAAGGTCCTTGGCGCAACGGCTCTGGGCAACAGCATGGCGTGGTAGAAGGCCTCCGCCACAACTGGGGAGGACAGCTTTGCCCGAGTCACCGTTCAGTACCTTGGAGCTCAGCAGGCATGAAGGCAAGTGTTTGGGCCGGTTGTCACAAGAGCCCCGCTGGAGAGTCCCTTCCTTGCAGTTGATTTCCGGTGTCATAGGCATCACCAGCTTGTGCCGCTCCTTGGCCTCCTCTTCAGCTGCTCTCTCCTTGCTCTCGCCCTTGGCGCCTTTATCCTTCGACACTGCACAGCGCTCATAGTCTTTGTGGCATTTCTGCCCATGCCCAGCTTCCCGGTCCCGGCTGCAGGAACCAATCGGATGCCCAGGTGCTGCCCGGGCAATGCTGGGGAAATTGTGATTGGTTGAAAGCAATGTGGGTTGAGCTGGAAGGTTCCGCAGGTAGAAATTGTCTACAGAAAAAGGGGAAGCGATTAAGAAATGTCTCCCAGACAACAGTGTGGCCTAGATCACAATGTGCAATATCACAATCCTAAGAATAGCCTAGCAGCTCTAACTCCCCATGCCTTGTGGCTCCAAGTAACGCTGGAAATAAATGCTCCCTAAGTTTGCAGAGGCAACGCTTACAAAGCAGCAGCTGATCTATGAAATGTCTGGTGCCCACCTGCAAGACTTAGTAGAGTTGAAGGTGGCTATCAGATACACTTCAGTTCCAGAAAAGTCAGTTTTGCCTCGTTTCGTCTACCTTCTCTCTGCAGCTGCCCACTAAATCTGTGTCCTTGGTAAGACAACAATTACACCACGGTTCTCCTGTCTCTTGAGGCAGAGTCAGCAATACCACATAGTCAAACTAATACTTGCCTTTCTGGCTTTCATAGAAACGATGCTGGCCATACAGGACATTGTTGTTTCCATGGTGATCCAAGTGGCTCATGGGAAGAAAAGTGGATGCTAAGCTCCCAGAGAACCTCGGGTAACCTGGAGCTGAAACAAGAGGCATTGAGGAATGGCAGGCCCATGTCACAACACAACAGTCACAAAGGCAAGTCACTGGGCCTTAGTCTGATCTGTCTCCATGCATAGGTTGAAAGGGGATTGCTGGGGTGAATTCAAAGTCCTTTGTCAGATTATTACTTTGGCTATATTAATCACTGCTAGGTTTCAAACAATAGACGGCTATGGGATGGACCACAGCTAAAAGTGTTGGTACTGAACCAGAAAACTCTCTGGTCCTAGTTTAGCAGAAGGATCTCACAAAGCACATCTGGCCAAATAAGACGCCTGGAAGAACAGCTACAAATGGAGGGAACAAAATACACTTTTCCCCGATCATAAGAAACCCTTGATGGATATTGATCTCTGGCTTCTTTGTAAAACTGAGGAAGCAGCTCTTGAATATCAGCTGCAGGAATCTGTAGAAAATTGTGGGAGAAAATAACATAGGCTAAAGGGGCTAGGGCTGTTATATCTAAATATATCAAAATTCTGCACCCAGGTGACTAAAATTCTGCAGACAAAATAATACTATGTTTAGGCATATATTTGCAGTTCTTGAAAACATCACATTCTCAAATAATCTTTTAATGCGTCGGTGAGGGTTGAAGTGAGAACAGCCTTATTAGCAAGGGTATGTAGATGAGGGTGAAGAGCATCACAAGCAAAGAACAAGGAGCAATAGAAGGGCTGAAGATCCTAATCTAGCCATTGCAATTGCTGCTCTTGAGTTCCTGACATAGCCTGGAAATGTAGCTTTTTGCTTAAAATATTAAATGGAAAGAATCTGGCTCATATAACCTTATTCCATGCCTGGGCACTCTAGCAGAAACAGATTAAATCTATATAACCACTGACACCCTTACTAGAGTCCATCTTCTTGGCTTCCTACAATCTAGTTCTGGTTCTAAGTCAAATGTTGTCAGTAAAGTTTTATTTGGAGAAATACAAGGAAAAGTTATAAAAAAAAAAACCTCTGCTAAAACGGGAATTATACAGAGCTGTGGTGGCCCAGTGGTCAGAATGCAGTACTGCAGACTACTTCTGCTGACTGCTAGCTGCCTGCAGTTCAGCAGTTCGATTCTGACCGGCTCAAGGTTGACTCAGACTACCATCCTTCCAAGGATGGTAAAATGAGGACCCAGATTGTTGGCAATATGTGGGCAATATGCTGACTCTGTAAACCGCTTAGAAAGGGCTGTAAAGCACTGTGAAGTGGTAAATAAGTCTAAGTGCTATTGCTGATGCTAAATGCTGTTACTAAAATTGCCCACTGTAGTCTTAAAAATAGGCTTTTGATCAGGGCTATCAGATGGGGGGAGGAGAATTCAAAAAAGTCAAGATCGCCGTGAGCTGCAACTGCAGTATTGGAGTGTCACCCCAGCGTTATGTGTATTGTATGTAAAGGGACTGAGATAGCTCCTGAGCAAGTTCAGGTGGTTGGTTCAGCAAAAGGGGCAAGTCAGCTTCATCCCCCCCCCCCCGTTTGCAAAAGGAGGGGAATTACTGATTTGCCCGGTATGGTAAAGATCAGCAGAGCAAGGCTCATTTTAAAAAGGAACAAGCAAACAACAGCAACAACAACCAGAACCCCTGCAACCAATAGGATATGAAAAGGGTTGCCGTTATATTCAGTTCAAAAAATGAAATTACCTCTTGCTGAACATTTAAAAAAGTTACCTAATGATAGGATGGACTTAGAAGAAACAACAACAACAACAAAAACAGAAAAGTTATCGAGATTAGTAAAATATTAATAGAAACATTAATAATATGCAATTCCCCAAGAAACAAACAAACTGTTGTTTGTTTCATTCATTTTCAGAACACTACAATATTGAGAGAGCCTGGAAAATAATATTACTTTGTAAGGACACTGAACTATATTAAAAAGACATCACCTCATCTTCCTCATAGTATGAAGCATGTACAAAAAATGAACATGTACCAAACGTGCCCAGATGTGCACGCTCACATATGCATGTACATTCACATACATCCTCAACACGAAAAAGGTGTGTTGCACAGATGAGCAATCAGAAAGTGAGCACGGTCCTCATCCTCTCAAGAGATACTATACTGTAGCTGAATCCAGAGGAACAGCGCTTCCTCTCCCCACCCCAACCACCCATCATGACTCAGAGCTTCCCAGGCTAAAGGCCAAACAACGGCCATGAGGACAGGGGCATCAAACCAAGTCCTTCCTTCCTTCCTTCCTAGAAGTTCTTCCCAAACTGTCCTGTGGAACCCTCTTTTTCAATGGTTCCTTCACGGCAGGATCAAGGCAGCCTTCCCTGCGTCTGGCCTGCCAGATTAATCTCCCCAACAAGCAGGCTGTTTCCCCAGAGCTAGCAGCTCTCCTGCTCCACCCTCATTAGACTGGCTGCCCGTCAGCATCACGCTGACAGCATTGCCTGCACCCCGCCCCCAACAGACCCGACATGCCGGAAGCTAGCTGGCAGCCGTTCAAGCTAGCAGTCGGGCTGGCTGCCAGGGCACAGTGCCAGCAGCACCTTGCCGCTCACACTTTAACTTTCTGCATCTTGCAAGAAGGGAAAAACGCTGGGGGAAGGGCACGACAAGAGGCCGCCACTGCAGGGGAGAGAAAGCACAAGTGCATTAAGGAGACTAAAAATAGTTGTTGTGGCCACTGGCTCAGCACATCGGGAAGGGTGGGAAGTGCGGGGGAGGGGGTGTTGGGGTGGGATGGGGGTGATCGGGAAGAGCAGTGGCTTGGGACTCCAAAGGATGAGAGTGGGGAGAGAGGGAGGCAAGCTATCTTAGAGTTGAGGGGCACCGCTAAAGCACACAGAGATAACTTTTAAGTTCCACTGATAGGCGGAGAGTGATAGGAGAGAGTAAATGCATTTGGGGACAGCCTGAAGAACATCGGCTGAGCTGTGGAAAGGAAGTTTCAGGTCCAGAACAATCACAGGAAGGTCCAAGGGGGAAGCGAGGGCTAGCAACAGCATGGGGAGGGGGACAAAGCATCCATCTATCTATTGCATAGACCAGACCTGCCGCACATTCATTCTCCAAGTCCAAACACTTGGCCCAAGGGTCCTCTAAGAAACAAGAGAGAGAAGAGAGAGCTTTTTGAAATACTTTCAGGGTTCCTGAAGCTAAAACAGAAAAGGAGAAAGAAAAGTGCCTCAACAGAAAAGAGAAACTGCAGGTAATTTCCTGGATTCCCTTGCCAACTGACCCCCCCCACTCCCTCTCTGCAGTGTGCTACCAGCATAAATCGGGAGGGCGGCGGGGGACAGTTCTAACTCTAGGCTGTGTGAAGTTAAATGGAGCTTTTTTTCCTGCATGACGTGGTCAGGGGGTTGGGGATGGAAAAAGGGACTCCAAAAATCAGAGGGTCTCCTACCCATCCACCATATCAAAATGCCTCAGGATGCGCATTTGTCAAGTCCTTTTTATTTCTACTTCAATCCACAACCTTCCCTCATCTCACTGTGCCTTATTCTTGCTGCCTAACAACAGCCAGAACGCCAAGCAACTGAGAATTCTTACACCTGAATTCTCCTGTCTGCACAGTCCCATTTTTTCTCTCTAAGAGAACTGTAGAACAATGGGGGAACTATGCTTGTAAGGGCAAATTAATGAGATCGCCTCTGCCACCGCAGATCAGGGCTATATGTCTTCTATTCTTCTACCTGTACAGAATATTGAAAAAATTCAGTTGATTTGACGATTTGTGCCAGTGACGTGAATATATCTGCAATATCAGGCATCTTAAGATCTTGCACTTCCATACTCTGCCCACCTGTCTATTAAAGGACACTTCTAAGAAAACATACTTATTTAGAAATGATGATGCCACCTCACCCTAGTGCCTCTACCCAACTCTCCTTACCTTCATGTGAATGTGAGAACCAAATCTGAGAGGTGCCGGAGTGGGGGCCATGGAAGGCAGGTTCAGATGGGGATGATGTCGGCCCCGTAGGATGTGGAGGTGCTGCTGAGCCCAAACCGCTGCTTAGGAAGCTGCCCATAAAGGATGAGGCAGGTGAGTTTCCCATCAAGCCACTTCCTGCTGGGTGCATAAAGAAGGAAAGGCAGTGTCAGCGTATTGAGATGGACAGAGGATGCTCAGCAACCTCCTCGTACCTGTGTGTGCTCAATTCTGATTTTTAAAACCCTGCATTATTTTGCAAATCAAATATACAAGCGTTCGTCTCTGAGCAACAAAAATATGTAATAGCATCATTGATAGTATTGCTTAGAAGTAGCTGATTTCAGTCGATCAAAAATCCTGTTCGTTTCAGGGTTTGCAGGAGGGGGGAAATATGTTCAGCAGCTGTACAGCCCTCCCACATGCCCTCAACACCGTCCCTAGAAGCATAAACAGTTTGCCACTCAATCTGGCAGCTCTGATGGGCACATATTATCCAGTTGCTGTTGGCTTTGGGGAAGGAGTTAGTGCCCACCAAAGACCTCTCAGAGTCTCAAGTCTGGCTAAGTCTTCCAAGTATGCTACATCCATTAAAGCAAAAGATAGGAGTGTTGTTTTTCTACCAATAGCTGTCTGTACATACATACTTATCAGAAAACAAGCAATTGTACATCTGTAAGTCCACTGAGACTTTACAACGTGAGTAAGGAGCAAAGAACCCTTTGGAATACCCGCCTGCAACCTTGTCAGCAATCACATTTCAACTCAACACCAGGAGTTTCAAAACAAATGCATGAGGTCCTGGAGGGAGAACTAATGAGAACAACCCATGCACAAGCATATTGAGTTCTTCCACTGCCATTCCAGAATGAAAAAAAATAAATCATAATGGGAAAATGAATTAGAGGGAACCACGTTCTCCACAGGATATATTCAAAAATCACAAGTGCAGCATAAACCTAAATGCAACCCCCCACCCCACAAAGCCACAATATGGAAACTCTACATCACGTACATGCCTCAGAAAAATGGAGGGGTGGCAGGGGATTCCCATCCTTCAATATTTTGAATCACTGAAACTCTTCACTTAAAGACAAAGGGTCTTCCAAGTTTTTGGGCAAGTAGTCCTTGCCGGATTTCATAGTTATTGTTTCAATAACATATATCCTATCACACTTCCATAATACAGCTATCTTTTTGACATATTAATGAGACACCTAACAATTAATTCTGAAAGACATTGAAGGTTGCAACACTACTGCTGTACAAAGACATTTATTCTTCTGTGAGTAACATAGTGTGGGAACACTGAACTCATGTGAGATTGGCTAGTATCTTTGGGGAAGTGAATGCAATTTGTGGAAGAGTGCAGGTGATGTGATATACACCTGTATTAATTTACTTATGCAAGTAGACTGCTTATGAAAGGGGTATTTTCCAGTTTGTGATTGTCAGGACAATCCACAATTTACAGATGTCATCTGGGTCTCCAGTATCAATTAATCACTGTTATATCTGCCTTGTACAATGTAACAGCTGTTGGAGGGAAAACCTTCCCCAATTGTTCTGTTTTCTTAACTTCTAACGTGCCCTAGTAGGTTAAAAACCGTTCAGACCCACAAGTACCAAAATATGCATTAAGTATGAATAGGTATGTCCTAAGTTTGGCATGGTTTCTATGACCTCAGCATCAGCACAACAAGCAGTGTTCCTTACATGCTGGGAATACCCCCCGATTTCTACTTCTCTCAACATTATTAAAAATGTGTGACCCTGCTAAAAAGGGGGGTAGGTGAGGGATCTTATCGATGCTTGTGATTATGTGAGGGATCTTATAGAGACTGCTAATAAAGCCCTGTACTACCTATGGGCAATGGGCCTGGATTTTTAGTCATGATCCCTAGGTATTTGATGTGGGTGAGTGCTTGATGAAGCATCCAACTAAGAAGCAGGAAATTCTCACTTTAAGCCAGCCCACGCTCCCTAGTTAATCCCACTGGGATGCCTCAGTGATGAGTATGGGGATGTGGTTTACACAGCATGGCCAAGGACACTCCCCACAGCTGGGATGGAGATGGGAATTTAGGCATTAGCTAGGAAAGTCCCTTTCTAGTCAAGTGAAATCTGGAGGGCTCCATGTATGCCCAGGCTGATGTTTCTAGAGCTCATTACCACAGACTAAGCAAAGAAAGGGTTAGATCCTGTTCTCTTGCAACAGCCAGCCTCTGTCAAGGAGCATTCGGATCTGAGGTCTTTACAACCCTCAGAAGAAAATGCAGCAGGCCTCCTTCATTCCAGGACCCCTCTCCCCATCACGCTTACTTCTCTATCTTTATCACTGCCTAACCTGTACATTCTCATACGGACTTGTTATAATTATATAATTGCCATACGGACTTCTTCACAAAGCATCCTTGCTTGGTTTTATCAATGTTCCCTCTAAGCTGCGGCTTGAGTGCAGAGGCTGTTGCACACACTTGCCTGGGGGACTTAAGTCTTCTGCTCACTGTCAAAAATGACACTGGTTTTCACAAATGGGTAAGCGGGGGTGGGGGGAGAAAGGGGCAGGGGATAGCGAAGAGAAGAAGCTTCTCACCCAGGTCATCGGAAATCTGCAGAGCTTTTGCAAACTTCCAGGCCCAAAGACGGCAGCGGGAAAGCAGAGGGAAAGCCAAGGAGAAGGGCTTTACCCCTGGAGGCTAGGTTTGAAGCCAGGGTTTCAGTAGATCAGTAATCTGCGAGTTTTAAAAGTTTTCAATTTCAAAATAATGAATCAGGGATGACATTGATTAAAACACAATATTAAACTCTGTTATTCCTGTTTAACTTACTTTTTAAATATTTTTTATACCAACAAGATTTTTGGTTGAATCAAAATAGGTAACCTCATTTTTTTATAATATGGGAAGTTTAAACATGCAAAGAATACAAGAGCCGTGGTGGCGCAGTGGTTAGAATGAAGTATTGCAGGCTACTTCTGCTGTCTGCAATTTGACAGTTCAAATTTCACCAGGCTCAAGGTTGACTCAGCCTTCTATCCTTCCAAGGTGGGTAAAATGAGGACCCAGATTATTGGGGGCAATAGGCTGACTCTGTAAACCGCTTACAGAGGGCTAAAAAGCACCGTGAAGCGTTATATAAGTCTAAGTGCTATTGCTATATAAAAAAATTAGCTGCCACCATCACCAGGCCAGGGTTGCTCTCTCCAACTCCCCACCCAGCCCAGGTTTGTCCAGGTCAACCCAATGGCTGCAGAGAATATATCATGTCTTGTACATCTGCTTCCCTGGCTTAGAGGAAGAATTGCTCTGGACACAGTTGACCCCTTTATATCCCGTACCATGAAATTCAGTCCGCATACATTCCCAAATCTAGTCCGCCCCTTGAAACATAGTATTTTGTCTCTCACACCCATGCAGAGTGTAGTTTCTTCCAGATATGTTGTCTATACATAAGCTCTTATTCTCAAGTTTATCCAATCGCCGTTGAGATAACGGGTGTGGCTTCCTTGCAAACCCCTGCACAGCACTGCATAAATAAAAGCAATGTAACGGCACATGCTGGTTCCAATCCCACCTCAGCTATTAACTACTGGGTGGTCCAGGGCAAATAAAACTTCAGAACTTCCCCCTCCCTGCCCTTGCAAGATTGGGCAGAATAATAATGAAATAACTAATGAGCAGAATTTCAATGGTACAGGAATCAGAAATGGCAACATCTTTTAAGTGCCAAACACAACCATGAACATTTGAAAATTTATGAATTTGTTTCTTCCAAGTGACATTATGGGAAATTTCATTCCATGTTCCATTTAAGAATATGACTTAAACATGGCAACGATTCCTTAAGATTAGTGGGCACATCTTATTCAACTTTTCATAAGGCAGAAGATGTCCATGAGTATGCAAGAGAGGAAAAAAACAGAAGGATTTAAATTTCCCATCCTAGGTGACAACACATGTTGTCAGTAGTAGTTGTAGTATCTTCCCTGTTCAGGTTCCTTCAAAATGTTGCAGCTAATCTTGGAAAAGTTTTGAATTCTGTCTCTCTCGCTTTCTTTCTCCTTTATTTTATATACAGATGGTCTTTCATTAACAGCCACAGCTAGGAGTGAATTTCAATTGTAAGTCATGAAAGTCTTAAGCTGAGGCAACCACATGATTGGACCAGATTTTAGGATGGTTTTTATAGCGGTCATTAAATGAATCCTGTGGCTGTAAGTCTGAATCCATTCTTATAAATGGGTGGGGTTTTTGGTCAGAAACCAGTAAAAAAAAAAAAAAACACCACAAAGCAATGGTCATGCAACTGCAGGATGCTGGAGTTAGTTGTAAGTGTGAGCTTGTAGCCAAGCACCCAAAATATAGTCTTGTGACTGGGGGAAGGGAGAGTGTAACATTTTGCAATGGTCAGGAATCAGTGGTGGGATTCAAATTTTTTTACTATCAGTTCTGTGGGTGTGGCTTGGTGGGCGTGGCAGGGGAAGGGTACTGTAAAATCTCCATTTCCACCCCTCTCCAGGGGGAAGAATACTGTAAAATCCCCATTCCTTCCCCACCCCACTAACCTACTTTCCAGCTCCATTCTCCTGTGCAGGGCAACAAAAGAAGACCCAGCCAATCAGCTGGGACTCAGGAGGCAGAGAATAGATGGGAGTGGGGGCAGTCAGAGGTGGTATTCTGAACTACTCAAAATTTCTGCCACCGGTTCTCCAGAACTGGTCAGAACCTGCTGAATACCGCCTCTGTCAGAAATGCTTTGCAAGCTATAAACCATCCCCTTCCAAGGGCCATCTTCCAAGGGCCAATGGTTAAATGACTCTGAGGACTACCTGTGTCCCTATTTATTTCCTACACACTATACACATTCTTTACTGAAACACATCCGTCTCTCTCTACCAAGTCCTGCTGTGGTGCTTCATCATGGCCAGGATTTATATGTTGCTGGGTAGGATGAGTATTGAATTCTGGGAGTGTATGCTATATATGTGCTCCCAGCAGGGTAACCCAAGGCATGAAGGTCATCCCAGCTGCCAACTAAAGCAAACAGGCATTTATATTGGGCAGCAAGGAAACCAAAGTCAAAATCCCAGGAAGGAACTTAACGAAGAATTTCAGAAAGCTATTAGGAAAGACAAAAAG